CTATATATAAAATACAAATTACAACAACTAAACACAGCATAAAACTCTATATATATATATATATAAAGGGAAAACTTGGCATATGCCAGAATAGAATAAATTAACAATCATAATTAGGTCGCGAAATCTCAACTTTTATGTTGACATGCGGCCTAGTACAATGATTTTTTTTTTTTTTTTTTGACAATGGTAATGGTTAAAACTTAGTATGAATTAGTTGTTAATAACAGGGATTCGATCTCCAAAATTGGTGAACATTCTACCCCCTCAAATGAGACACGCGGCCATTAGATTGCTTTTGGTAGAATTCACGACGGTGATAGAGTTCGAAACTTCGACCACCACACCCAAGTACTTAAAACATGAGATCGAACCATTGGATCTAAAAGTTTGGTTCGATTTTTTGTCTTGTTTGGGTACTCACATGGTGTGAAGAAATTATTAATACTTCAGGTAGAACCCATTTAATTGATGAGGTTGAGTGATTCAATTAGCAGGCACAACATTCTAGCATAGACGACAGATCTCAGTCTACGCATGGGCGCGGTGCGTTAGGTGCATGCAACGTGATGGGGCTGCAGCTGCAAAAGGAAAGGTGTGTTTAATTTGGGGGACAAAATAAGCAAAACCATGCATGAAACTTTGATCATCACAACAAACTTGGCTTCTAACCTAATAACATGGTAGTAATTAATTTTTGAAAAATGATTGAGAGATAATTTTTATTTTATAATTTTTTCATACAAATTTATTTATTATTTACTAATTGATTATTTTTATTTTATTAAAATATATGATATTATATTTATTTATTTATTTATATGATTAAATGTTAAAATTCTAAACAAAAATTATACAAATATATTGTCTATATATTATTACCCTTAATTTTCTTGTGACGTTGTTTGTCGGTCAATAACCAGAACAATAGGATATCTCACGTTTTTTTTTCCCCTTTAAAAGATTAATTAAGAAATGAAATGACAAAGTGTAAATGATTAAACTAATTAAGTGTTAAACTTCTCTCTCTTCTCTAGAATTCTCCAGCTTCTTCTTACTAAACCCTTCACAAACCTCTGCTTTTTTGGGGCTCGGAAGCCGTCAGGCTTCGCGAGTTTTTGATGCTTGGAAGCCCGTCGGCTTCTCAAGCAGGGTGGAGCTAGCCTTTCATGCTCCTCTGTCCGTTGACCACCTCGAGTGGTCTATCGGTTTGTTTTGTGACCCCATCTGATAGTTCTTTTCATTTTTTCTTACTGTTTTTTTGGTTTTCTTATTTGTTTACTCAGATCTGGTGGTCAACAAGACATTAAAGCAAATATTAGGCGTTGGTTGCTGGTTGCTTGGATCTCCTTGCCACTACATCTTGGAAAGTGAGCTCATCTTCAAGAGTAGATTGAAGGATATCCAATTTATCCGGAACGATCGACCAAAAGAATTTGTAAATTAAGTTTCTTAGAGGTTGTTCGTATGAATTTTCACTGTATTTCTTTATTTATCCTTGTTGAACTTGATTTATTTTTAACTGTAATCTCCAGTTGTGCTTTGTGTTCCGGTAGTTGTTTTTGTCGTTTAGATAAAAAAAGATTTTATGTAGATACCGTATGAACGTTTATCTTAATATATGAGTTCTCCTTAGTTCAAAAAAGAAATGAAATGACAATGTGAATTGACAATATGCCTGCCAAAATCAACTAGTGGTGGTAAATCAGAATTTATAAAGATGGAAGAAAGAAAAAGTTAACAATTTGTTGGACTTTGGGTAGAAAAAGAAGGGAGTGAATCAAAGAATTACGTTCATCATGCACTTTTATAGAAGACTTGAGATGGCTTCCAAAGCATCGTTGTCTCGTTTTACTTTTTGATTAACTTTATTAAAAAATAGGGGATTAATTAATATTGGTGTGGGCATGCCATTAATTAGGAGGAAATGTAATCTTTATTTGATATACTACCAGTCTAAAGTATTATTCATGACTTCAAACAAAACTTGAAAACCATTTTTCATAAATTTTTTCTTTGTATACCATTTTTAATCAAGATTTTAGATTCAAACTTTTTAATTATTATAAAAAATTTTGGATTGCGATTGATTATAATTTTTTTTTTCCCTTAATGTAAAGTACGTTGGTACATATGTGTATTCATATATTAATGTTCTTTTAGATCGATGGAAAAAAAAAAAAGAAAGAGAATCAAAATCTCATTGACCTATCCTTGTATCACTTTAGCTTGAGTATGATTTTAAAGGAACAGAATATCATTCATTCTAATAAGATTTGCAATTCAGTGGTAAAGGGATTGACATATCTTAAGAGACATTAGATTCTAATCACATCGTGAGATGTGAGTGTGAACAACAATCTAAATCAAAAAGCTTCGTATGAAATTTTTTTTAGAAAGAAGAAATTTATCCACTGCCACACCAATTGATCACTTCTTTACTTGACAATATGTAATCGAAAACCGCTTTAAGTAAAGAATATTGATGTAAAGAAAATTCTCCATATTGTTACCTTTTTCCATCTCTTTACCAGTTTCTTTCCCACCTCACTCACCCCCCCCCCCCGCCCCCCAAAAACACTTTTAATAATATTGCTTTCCTTTAGAAGAAAAGAAGGAAAAGGAGTAAAATGGACCATATATGGTCTTATATTCCTTTATAACCCTCCTTTTTCTTTCGGTAGAAGAGGGTTCTAATTCGAAATTCTAAAACACTTTTCTAAATCTCCTATAGATATTAGTACTTTGATTTGTTTATCCTATACCTTGCTTGGATTCTTTCCATGCCAAGCAAGAAAAGGAGGGAATCAACCGAGCAGAAGCAAACCCATGAGATCTAGCTAGCTATTTAAGTAAGATACTTTTTAAGTTCTACTAAATACCCTCTTAAAGTAATTTAAAATTTGTTTTTAAGTATTTTACAATTAAAAAACAACTTTCTACGAATAAATTTTTAAACATAAAAGAGAAAAAAGTATTTGTAAATAATCAAAATAAAAAGAAAAAACTTTTCCAAACAAATTCCTAATTAAAAGCTGATATTCTGCTTCCAAGATAACTAAGTGCTTATTAGAGATTGACTGTGCCAAACAAAATACATGTTTGTTAGGGAAGTGAATTGCAAATTTCCCTACTTGGTTGGCCGAAAAAAAAAATGGAAAATTTCAAATAATTATCATTTTGACTTGCTGTTGACTGCATGTGCCATGAGGCCCATGACAGGTTGTTGAGGCATTATTGATTGGATGTTCTAAATGCATTTTTATCATGAAAATTAATATTTGTTAACAACAATTCTCAATTTGTAGTCACTATTTTTTCTCCCAAACGAGTGAATTAAATTAATTGATAGTACCTTTAATTCATTTTATAGTTGTTACAACACGTATTTTTTTGTGATATTTTTATAGATGATAATTAAATTATTTAATAAAATTATAAATTTAGAAAAAAAATTAATTATCATTCATGTATTATAAAAAAAATACTTAAAAACACATATTGTAACAAATAAAATGAATCAAAAATATATTTACTTTTTTAACATCACACTTTTAACCCTATTTCTACTACTCAATACTACTAAAGATGTGGTTGGTTATTTAGCTCTTGCGCTGGGTAGGGGAAAAACTCTAGCCGCGTGATAGGCCTCTCTCTCTCAATCTCTTTCTTTTGTGAAACTTCCCTCCCCTTTCTCTATCAATTCTTTGAAATTTGGTATTAATAAGAATAAAATTTTTCAAAACTTTTTCATTAAGGATATGACTTCTTCTTTTTTTTCTTAATAATAAAGGCTCTCACCTTGCAGAATTTTCTAATCAATTATATGATTTTTGCAAAATT